CAATTTTTTTTTTTCTTTTTTTGTACCAAAACCCAAAATATCACCAAATGAACACAATTCTTTCTCCAATAAGCATTTTAGATGTACAAAAGTGGATTTCTTGATTTATATTCTGACTTCTTTTATAATTTCAAGGGTTTCATCAAGGATTCTTCCCAAAAACAAAATGTGACAGCATTCAGTTTATCAGATTGAGTAATTTCTCAGGAAAAAACACACATTGACAATGACAATATATATGATATTATGCACCAAATTTTAGCTTAGTTCTCCAATGACAGTATCAAACAGAACTTATACATCGAGAATCATGATTTTATGTCAATTAATCAAGTTAAGGGTGACCAATTACCTGGAAAATGCTTCCAATGGATAAAATCAAGTCCTATCTCCTTCATCGTAACCTTAGATTTTAACTAAACAAAAGCATATCCCTGTCTAGATACCTCTAGTCAATTTCTTGTTGTAAACCCTAGTTTTACACGCCAATTTTTTAAATATTTTTCAATTTTCTTGATACAAGAAAATGCTAGCATATATGTTGTATAAATTCATGAATGCTTAACACCAAATTATAGAACCAAAAAAGAAGCAACGATTCAAGAAAGTTAAAGCAATGGTGTCGAACATCGCCGTGCTTAGTGCCCTTGACAATGCACGAACGCAATGGTACCATGTGACTGCGATTGTCATTGCCGGAATGGGGTTCTTCACCGATGCGTACGATCTTTTCTGCATCTCCACTGTCTCGAAACTACTGGGCCGGCTCTATTACTACGATGGCTCCTTGACCAAGCCGGGAAAGCTTCCTCATGACGTCAACAATTTTGTTGTTGGAGTGGCGCTGGTCGGGACCTTAATCGGTCAACTGTTTTTCGGGTGGCTTGGTGATAAATTGGGGAGAAAGAGAGTCTATGGGGTTACTTTGGTTCTTATGGCTATTTGTGCCATTTGCTCGGGCATGTCATTGGGATCCAGTCCTAAAGCTGTTATGACTACACTTTGTTTCTTCAGGTTCTGGCTTGGCTTTGGGATTGGCGGCGATTATCCTCTCTCCGCCACGATCATGTCCGAATACGCCAACAAGAAAACCCGTGGTGCTTTTATTGCAGCGGTATTTGCTATGCAAGGTGTTGGAATCATCTTTGCCGGTCTAGTATCGATGACTCTCTCGAAAATATTTCTTAACGCATATCCTGGTCCTAGATTCTCGGAATCACCGATTTTCTCGACCGAGCCCGAGGCGGATTACGTATGGCGAATCGTGCTCATGCTTGGAGCTCTGCCAGCAATTCTCACCTTCTACTGGCGAATGAAAATGCCGGAAACTGGCCGGTACACGGCCCTGATCGAGGGAAATGCAAAACAAGCTGCTTCCGATATGGGGAGGGTCCTTGATATTGAAATTCAAGCCGAACAAGAAAAATTAGCACAATTTAAGTCTTCCAATGAATACTCATTGCTATCGAGTGAGTTTTTCAATCGCCATGGCCGTCATTTAATAGGAACCGCAACTACTTGGTTCTTACTAGATATTGCCTTTTATAGCCAAAATCTTACACAAAAAGACATTTTCCCTACAATGGGACTCACTAGCAAAGCCGAAAATGTAAGCGCGCTACGTGAAATGTTCGAGACATCCCGTGCCATGTTTGTGATATCCTTATTCGGGACTTTCCCTGGTTACTGGGTCACTGTGGCGTTCATCGATAAAATCGGTCGATTTTACATACAATTGTTGGGCTTCTTCATGATGTCTGTATTCATGTTCATAATCGGTCTCAAATATGAAAACCTCAAGACTGAACAGCACAAATGGACTTTTGCTATTCTTTACGGGCTGACGTTCTTCTTCGCGAACTTCGGCCCTAACGCAACAACCTTTGTTCTGCCGGCGGAGCTTTTCCCCACCAGGCTGAGATCTACTTGCCATGCAATTAGCGCCGCCTCCGGCAAAGCCGGGGCTATGATAGGAGCATTTGGTGTTCAAAACTATACACAGGATGGAGACACGCGTAAAATCAAAAGGGCCATGATGATTTTGGCTTTCACAAACTTGATTGGATTTTTCTGTACCTTCCTTGTGACAGAAACAAAAGGGAGGTCATTGGAGGAGATTTCCGGCGAGGACGGTGGCAGCGGCGTGAACGAGACACAGTTGACCCCAAAACAGACGGTTAATCGACCGGAACAATGGGAATGATTTTACCATTTGGACAAATTACTCGGCAAGTCTATCACTTTGATCAGATTGAAGAATTATTATTAATACTACGTTTTATAGGCATGCATGGATTCAATAAGGGCATATGTTGTCTTAATAGCTACGTTGTGCTTTTAATTTTCTGCTACCCCATAAAATAAGAGTCGGATAATGTTGTGATCATGTAATGATCCTTGAACAAGAAGGGGTTTGTTTTTTTGTTTTTCTTTTATTTTTTTGGTTCTCTTTTGTTTGGTTATGAATATAAGAATGTTTCCTTGTTTATCTTGTTTTCTTGGAGTGTTCTATAAAATATTTTACCATGTATGGATAAAGTTAGTTTAGTGAAAAATTTCGAGTAATATCTCAATTTTTGAGAGCTTAAATATGCTAAAATCCTACTGATAAGCTCAAATAATCAGTGGCGGAGTCAAAAGGGGCGGGGGGTGGCGATTGACCTTGCAACATTTTGAAATATTATTTTAAATATGTGTACACTCCAAAATCTGCAAAGAATCCACTTAAGCACCACCAAGAAGTGAGGGCCAAGTAGACTTTCGATGATGTTCCACATGGTAATCCAACTCGCCACTCCCACGTGTTCCTCACTTTATCGGCTCAACTTGAGTGAGTTGACCCAATGAGCTTTGCCTTCGGTTATACCTTGCCATCCCTCAAGGTCTTTGCAAGGAACAACACTGGTTATGATACTTCGACTTCTTAAACATTGCAACCTATCTCGAGTCAGATTTATCAACTTTGACGAGAGTAACACTTCGACTTCTTTAACGTTGGATGCCTATTCATTACAGCATGATACTTACCTCTTCAAAAAGTTGAGACAAAAATCAAATTCTAACACCTAATATGAATAATTAGGCATTGGAATTGGAGGACTATTGTTATGCCTCTATTCGCATGACAACCCCTAGACAAAGAACACATGTCAATGTTGTCGATAAGAATGATGCCATCCGAGCCCCAAAGGCTTCGCATATATACCATTTACTCCAAGGCAATGGAGATCCCATATGTGGCCCATTAAGGCCTCGGAGGTGGCCGCATCTCTAACAGCCCTAAGCCCCATCCGAAGCCACTCGAATGCGACCTCGAAAACTAAAGTATCTGACGAATCCAAATTCGTATTTGTATTGCCTTCAGGGACAGATCCAAGACTACAGATAAATTTTTTTATACATAAAAAAATTTAATGGGCTAGCCTAGACCAGCCTTCCCCTATATCAGCCACTACTTGCCTCTTTATTCTTTCCAAGGTGGTATGGGGCGACCCAATCCTCAGCAATACAAAACATGCCTCCTAAGACTGAGGCAGTTGGGACTGTCTCCAGATGCCTTCGTGCAAGTTGTTGTGTAAAATACTTTTGACGATGTGCAAAATGATTGATTTAAGGGGGTATTCGCAAAAATGTCCAATTTTATATATGTCAATTCAAAAATGTTCACTTTTAATAATCTTTGCAAAAATGACAAAATTTGATACCAAATTCTCTATTTTACCCTTCATTAAAGAATAAATAATTTCATATTGCACATGTCAAATCACAATTAATGTTAGACACAGAAATGTCGAGAACAAAATTTAAAATGTAGATAAATGTCATGTTCGGAATGAAATATTATTCTAAACATTTAATGTGTCGAGAACAACGTTTGAAATGTCGAGAACATTTAATATTATGATTTGACATGTGTACTTTTGAAATATAGACGGATTCAAAAATCGATAACGACATTTGAAATGTCAAGTACATCATTTTAATGTAGTTTCTCATGAAAACTACTTAGGAGTACTCTAGTCCAAATAATTGCAAAAAATGGACATTGAAAAATTTTGAACTTTTTGCAAAGGACTATGTCAACGTGGATTTTTGTTGTAATTTCCTCTTGATGATTTAACCGCCTATAATGGCGGCTTAAAATTACATCACCATTACTTTGCCTCGGACAGGGAAAAGAATTATGCTAAGTGTACATCCATGGGTTACATCTTGGTGTACATTGTGTGGAAATTTAATACGTGTTGGACGGAAAATTGTGTTTTATTTTTTAAAACTGTCCAATCCATGTCGTCACGTGACATAATATCGAAAATGATATAAAAGAAAATGTACATTTAAACATGAATGAAGGGAAAAACTGTAGTAATCCTTTGATAGACATATCGTAGTCATATGATTGTTAACAAATCATACCTATGACTGTGATCAATAAGTCGTTAGGATGAAGCGATGTGTCACACATTCACTAAGCCTCTCATGCTCGCTCTACCAATAAATATCAAGCTTTCGAATATTTGAATATAATTGAATTGTTAATATTTGAGTCTGAATTCTCTATTTCAACTTTGGTATTTCTATATAAACTCGACACCCAAATTCTCGTCTTTGAGGGCTTCTCTAACAGCTAAATATTTGTTGCTCGATCAATATATTAATTTGAGCGTTGGAGTGCACACGTTCGTTACATGATCTCTCCATTCACAGGTGCCATGATGTCTACTTGCGTCCAAGTAACAAACCCTCAATAATAACCATGGAGGAGGGTCCCTTTGGGGAAGGAGTAAAAGTCATGTGGGAACCTGGGAACCAACAAGGGCACAACCTGCGATTTACCTCCATTAGTCACTGAGGGATCGTGGGCTAGAGGTCCAGAATTTAGTCCGACTAAGCTGGAACACCTGGGTTATCAAAAAAAAACAAACCCTCAAATGGGAAAGGTACTGAAATTTTGTGGACACACCAGGCTCACCAAATTTTGATTAGACATTTTCAAGTCTCGTCACCGCTCAATTCTTTGAGTCAGTCCAAAATGCCCAAGCCCTAGAAAATTCGTCTTTCCTTGTCCTTTTCCTTTTCAATTCCCTCCTGAAGAATTATACTTCCCTCCTCAAGTACTCAAAGAACCAGTTTTCCCTTTATTTTCTTTCCTCTTTTCCAATGAAATGGGACATGGAGGTAGATGAGATCGAAGCAGTGCTCGAGAAAATCTGGGATTTACACGACAAGCTCAGTGACGCTATTCACTCCATTACTCGGGCTCACTTCCTGAACTCGGTCAAGAATCCCCGAAAATTCACCTCCTCCGATGAATCCTATTTCTACCGGAAAAATCAAGCCGCCTCCGCTGCCGAAGATTCCGACAAGAATCCTGGGTCGGGATTTGTATTCGTAAAGGAGCTTCGGGTCGAGGATGATGAATTAGCGCCTCAGGAGGCCAAGAGTCTTTATGCCATTCGAACGGCGCTTGAAAATCTCGAAGACCAGCTGGAGTTTTTCCATGTTAGTTCAAATTATAATCGTCTGTTTATGGATTTTTCTGGTAACTTTAATTTTATTTCTACATTATTACTGATGGTTAAATTTTTTATGTGCTGTTTTTTGGTATAATCTGGGAATGGAAATTTTGGTTTGTACCAGCTTATTCTTGAAGTAGCTTTTTGGTGAAATTTAAGTGAATTTTTTATTAGGTGTGGTCTAAACCTATGTTTCAAATTTGTTATTTCAGTTATTAGATATGGATTTTGCTGAAAATGAAAAAGTTTATTACCTTGATTGAACTTAAAAAGTCTTTTATTTTTAATTCCTGGAGTGAACTTCCACATTTTGACAGTATCAATTAGAGTTCTTCAAAAAATAAAATCAGGAAAATATTTGATGAGAACATGACTGACTTATACAGGTAAGTGTCAATTCCAATTTCCAATAAGTAAACTAATTCGCATGGAAGGCCTTCGAATTGGCTACTGGCTGTAACTGAATACAGGGCATATCATCATAAGAATGTATAGGATGAATTTGGTATTATAGCATGAAAGCTTTGGGATGTGGGAATAATAATAGCCTGAAAATTATCAAAAGCTTATGTAAATTTTTGTGCATTTACTTTTAAATTGCTTTTGTGGAAAGTTTTTTGGTCTTATGCATACCACATATTGTAAAATTTGGATTATCTTCAACTTTTTATGCTGCAATATCCACGAAGACTATTTTGCACATCTAATACTGTGCAGTAATTCTAACAGTGAAAACCAAGGAACGATGAGTGCCTTTAGGATGAATTGAATATTATTTTCAGTGATTTCATCAGAAAGATGAGTAAATTTGATTCGAAAAGAAGATAAGGCTGATTGTATGAAATAATAGTAATTTCTGATGGTTTGGTTTTTGTGATGTTTTTAGTGAAACATTGAAAAGATAGTTCCGAATATGATTGGTTTAAACTTTAGTTAGAATTGTGTGGACATCAATGCTAGTGTTGAATGTAAAACAACGGTGCTATTCAATTCAATGGATGGGCATTTTAACTTGTGCTATTTCGAGGATTTTGTTGTCAGCTTCATTATCAGGTTTTTCTTTTTTGCTTGATTGTGGTGTAAAGATGAATAGACATTTTTGTTGTTGGTATACAGGATCAGGGCTACAAATTATCAGAATTATGTGGTGGTGGTCATCTGACACTAATTTTTATTACGACGATTTAATTGTGTTTGTGGTTGTTTCTGCAAAACGATTATTAATGTTGGGTTTTGATGCTATGATTCCTAGACGGTACAAACACACCAACGAGCTGAGAGAGATGCTGCAATTGCTAATTTAGAGCAAAGTCGCATTGCTCTTGCCATGAGATTGGCTGAACATCAAGGTAAGAGGTATAAAGTCATTGAAGAAGCACGAGCTTTATTGGGTGTTGTGCAAGATTCCGGTCAATGCATTTCACCAGAAAATCTTTATGTTTCAAATGCACACCCTTCTGGACGAAGCTTTGAAGCTCAAGGATCGACGAGGTCAAATGTTCTTGTCAATTTCTTTATGTCTGGTTTAAATTTTGTTACCAAAACCCTCAAATTGGATCGCATGGGTAGGATTATGGGAAATTCTGCTTTGGTTGCTATCAGCATGCTCGCATTAATGCGTCTGAGCCAACTCGGATGCAGGGACAAATATTTGTTGGATGCCTGTGAGACGCAAGATCATGCCACCTTTGGCAGAGAAACAAGAGTTTCTCATCTGTATGGTCGATCATCTGGCCATCGTTCTTTACAGTTGGATGTCCTGTCGGCCAGGGGTTAAATTGGATTTCTTTTGTCATTATTGTGAAAAGCTTAGTATTGCAAATAGGAATCACAAAGTTTTATCGTTTGGCGGATATGGATGGAGTATATGTTATTTTTGATAGTTTTAAGAATTAAGCCATTTTGCCAGAATTTGGTGCTCGCCCTTTTGACTGAAGCAGTGTTTGCGGGTTTTCATTGGTGCAAAACTGTTGTATTTTCTGTCAAAGAATGTGTCAAAACCGAACGGCAATGTCGCAAAAATGTAGTTTTAAATGGGTAGATATTCTTATTGATTTCGATTTTATTTTTTTTTATTTTTTATTTTATTTTTTGTGGGTGGAAAAAGGGAGTTCTCGACTTTTCCCATATATATATAAATTCAGATTGTAGACAGTTTGCATTTTGCTTCGAGTAGCATTAGATAGTTCGCAACTCAGAACCTCGTAGCTAAAACTGTATATATAGCACCGGTGACACGGTACATTATTGAATTAATGAATCATTAAATTCATGGGATTCACCATTAACTTATTCACTAATTTAATCATGTGTCATATCGCTGGTGCTTAACATAAGTTAAGTACTGATGCCCATTGGATCATTTCTCCTGGTATTAGTATTGCAAATGTTAATGCATATTGTTACTATATATTTTCACTAAATATTATCTTCATTTTTTATCTTGTTTGTTTCAAGCTACTGCTTCTACGATTTTGTTACAAGTGATTGGGTTCTATTTTTGGAACATTAATTTATTTAAAACCCTTTTTTTTCTTTTTTCTTTTTTTGTCTAAGAGGTTGAACCCCCAACCTTAAGAGCTTTCATCGTTCCGCCTCTAGAGTATCGCGAGAGAGGTAAATCGTGAGATATGCCTCAGCAGGCCAAGGAACAAGAGTTTGTCTCGTATACTAGTGTCCACAAAGAGTCTAATTTTATATGTTAGGAATCGAATCTTCACACTGCGACTGCCAATAAGGCGGAGCTTACCTCACTCCTGTCCTTTGTATTGAGGATGTGATACATATAGGATCGAGTTTTAACCATCTCATCAAAATATCAAATGATGTCTAATGAAAGAGTGTTTGGTCTTTCATGACAATCGACCATCATTATTTGATTGACTCAACTCAAGCTTAAGAGTGATATTTTTGCTTCCTAATGATCCTCCATCAACATAACGCTCCTGTGACTCGAGTATACGATCTTAGCTTTGAAATAACTTGAATAATTCAAATTTAACGAGTTTGTCTAAAAATCATTTGTGTCTATTAAGAACATATTAAACTTTTTTTGGCTTTCATCCGTCATTATTTCAGTGACCTAAGTCATGAGTTTGAAATGTTGCATTTAGGACTGGACAAATCTCCCGAACTGAACCCTATAGTTCTTGTCAAATTAAATATCCGAACGGGTATTTGAATTGAAAATCGACATATACGATTCGGTTCTCGGATCTAGGCCAAGAGCCGAAGAACCGAATAAGATTCGAATCTGCCTAATTTTTTTTTATATTGAATAAATCAAATTATTTTAATTTTAATTTTTCTAAACAAATTAACAATTTCTAAATTCAAATATTTTGCCCAATAATTTTTTTCATTTCTAATTTTTTAATTTTTAACCCAATTACTTATTTAAGGCTGACACTAATAGTGGAACTTCTAGCATGTAAAAGCATTTAAAAACTTGTTATGCATATAAAAACACTAAAATTGATTAAAACCAAGTACTACTCACTCGAGAAAACAATGATGGTCGTATTATAGCTACAGTGTTTAATAAATAAATGTGTAGAAAAGCATTGATTAAGATGATTATTATTGATGAATTGGCTTTTTCCTTTGTGGAAGGTGTTGGTTTTAAGGAATTTGTTCAACTTTGTCCTAGATTTGAGGTTCTTTCTCGAAGAACGATTATTAGAGATGTGCTACATCTCTACTATGAAACAAAGGAATTATTGAGGAAATTTGTTAAGGATAGGCAAAGGATTTCTTTAACCACTGATTTTTGGATATCAATTCAAAACATTAATTATATGGTAGTTACGACACACTATTGATAGAAGTTGGAAACTACATAAGAGGATATTGAGTTTTTTTATGGTTTCAAATCATAAAGGGGAGACAATTGAGAAGATTATCGAGATGTGTTTGCTTGATTGGGGAATAGAGTGTGTGGGTACCATTGCTGTAGATAATGCAAACACAAATTATGCAGCGATCGTTTATGTGAAAAACAAGTTGAAGAATTGAAAACCTGATGATACTATGATTTTAGGAGGCTCTTATCTGCATGTACGTTATTCAGCACACATAGTCAATTTGATTGTTAAAGAAGGGTTGAAAGAGTTTAATCCATCTATAGATAGTATTTGCAATGCGGTAAAATATTTTGATCATCTCCTTCCTTGTTGACAAAATTAAATGTTGTATTGAAAGGGGAAAAGATTGCATGCACAAAACTTGCTATTTTAGATGTTCCTACTAGATGGAATTCAACATTTTTAATGTTGGATAGTGCATTGAATTTTGAAAAAGCTTTTGAAAGAATCAAGAAGAAGATGGATTTTATTGTAAATATTTTGATGAGAATGAAGGTGGAAAAGAAAAGGAGGGGCCACCTACAAGTTATGATTGGAAGAAAGCCAAAAAATTTGTCAAGTTTCTAAGAACCTTTTATGATGTCACATTGAAGTTTAGTGCTTCATTGAGTGTTACTTCCATTATTTACTTCCACAAAGTTTGTAAAATTAAGCAAATTTTGAAGAAAATGGGTGAGAAGCAAGATTATTTGCTAAGTAGTATAGCAAATAGTATGAAGATTAAGTTTGACATATATTGAGGTAAAGTTGATAAAATGAACAAAATTTTGATTGTAGCAATCGTACTTGATCCTATTTATAAGTTGGAGTTTGTTGTACATTGCATTGGTATTTTGTATGACGGTGTTAAAATTGAAGCAACAAAAAATGAGGTCATGAAATTATTGTATGCTTTGTATAACCAACAAAAGGGACGGCATTGCTCAAACAATGGGACTAGTGGAAGCGGAAGTGGAGGCGATGAATCTAATGATGGAGTCACTTTGTTGGAGGATTCGAATGGTGATGATGATTGGAATGAATGCAATTTTGATTTTAGGTAAAAGAAATTGAAAACTACCAAAATGGATTTTTCTTAAAAAGATGGGTTACAACGATATCTAATGGAATCAACTGAAGATACTAATGATGAAAATTTTGACATTTTTAATTGGTGGAAGATCAATAAACCAAGATTTGAAATTTTATAAGAGGTTGCAAAGGATGTTCTAACCATTCTCGTATCTACAATGGCTTCTAATTCATCATTTAGTACTGAGGGGTGCATTCTTGATCCATTTAGGAGTTCTTTAACTTCTAAAACAGTTGAGGCCTTAATTTGTATACAAAATAGGCTAAGGGGGGAATATAGACTTTTGAAAGTTTCCCAAAATAAAGTTTGCATTGAAGAGACGGAGTTTTATGAGGGCATTGAGACAGGTAATAAAATATATGTTATATTTTTTTATTAAATCTTATTAGTTGAACAAATTTGAATTTATTTATGTTTATTAATAACTTAATTGTGTTTTTTCAAATTTTTCTTGCGGAGTTTCTTAATAGTGGATATGGCAAGTCAAGCAATTAATGGATAGTTAAAGTTTTAGTATTAGTATCTACTTTTTGGTATTTGTAAGTATTGGTAAATTAATCTTATTGGATAACTTGTTATTTACATATTATTAAATTGGACTACGTTAATTTGTAAAACTACTATTGAATGTGTCATTAGTTGTATTTATATATTGTTGTTATAAATGTTAAAAAATTTAATTATAGTATGGAACCGAATGGAATTGAACCGAACCGAATGGAACCGAATCCGAACAGTTCTATAATTATATTTGGACCCGACGGTTCCATTAATTAGATACTTGAAAATTTTAGTTCGATTCGGTTCTGTTCTCTTTACAACCGAACCAACCCGCACTTAGGCCTAGTTGTATTGTTGCTTCCCAATAATATCAACTTATTCTAAAAGTTATACTTATCTAGTGCATTGAAAAATCACATTTTGATAGTCTGATTTACGAATTATACATATCTATTCCGTTCGGAAAAGCACATTTTGCCGATTTCGTGTAAGGTTTCTCAAGCAAGTGGGACCAAACAGACTCTATTGAATGAAAATTTAAATCAAATTTGCAGTCTAGTTGAAACTGAGTGAAAAATTTCTCGAAATTCAGCCAATATTAGATTTTAAGATGGAATAAAACTCTGGCCTTTATGGCTATGGAATTAAATTGCGAAATAAGTATCGACAAGTATTTTCAACAGATTAGAGTCAACCTTGATGGTGGGTCAGAATGAGGTTCATGTCAATAATCGGCCCATGTCAAGTTTCGGAACCGCCACAGTGATTTGAGACAAGAATCTGTTCGGACCCAAAAAAAAAAAAAAATTGTAACATTGAGGCTGGTGCACATAGATCAATTAATTTTTATTTTTATTTTTTTAACCCACAATAAATCCAATTTAAAGCACACAACAGAATAACAATTGCACTTCTTCAAACTTCAAAACTTTAATTTCGATAATTTGTGTACCTTGGTGATTAAAAATATTTTATATGAAGATGGAACTTGTCATTTGTATTATAAATTTAGAGTATGGGTATCTGTTAATTTGGTAAATGATTTTTATTAGACAATGCTTTGTATGACAATAAAATTTTGGATGTACGTAGAATTTGCATTAATAATTTCGAAATTTTAGTTATGTATTTGAACCAAATCAAATCAAAACCATTCAGTTCGGTTATTGTTCGATTCTTTAGGAACCAATGATTTCATTATTAAATAACCAACGATTCTAGGTTTTGAACCCATCCCTAATTAAGTCGTTTAGAATTATGAGAATTTAATTTAAAATATACAGAGAATTTGCATAGAATTTAGAGGACTTCATTACAAGTGAAAAAATATATATAAATAAATAATGATCCTCGATTTTAAGGAATTATTCGACATTCTGACAATGTAGTAAATAAGAATATTTCGTAGATATATATATATATATATATATTTTTTTTATTCTAGATTTTAATAAATGAATTGGCACAAAATTTGCAATAACAAATAAACATTTAACAATACAAACTCGATGTGCAGATATTTATTTTGAATTTCTCATTCAAAAAAGAATGGTTTGCTCATCTCTACTTATTTCTCTTCTAAATTATTCTTTTAATAATGCTATTTGTTATCTTAGTTTACAATACATTATTTGTCTCGCTGTAGTTAATCAAGGGTCCGTTTGATTGCAAAGATAAAATTGAATTGAATTAAAAACGAATTTCAGGGAATTGAATTACCCATAAATT